GTGCTCTTCCGATCTTCCAACAGAATAACATTTGGCAAGTGTTTATATATCTCGAGAACATTCTGGAAAAAAGAATATATAAGACAATAAAATTAGTAATAATAAGAGAAATATAAGTAATTAATTCTTAAAGATTGTTTTCATATATGTATATATATACTAATATAGGCAGATAAAATGAGAGAGAGGATAGAAGAGAAGAAGGAAAGAAAAAAAGACAATAGAGAGGGAAAAATGGAGAAGAAGGGAAGAAGACAATGAGAGAAGATATTTCATATAATATTAATAAAAATCACACAATTCTATTACAAAATTTAAAATGATCTAAATTATTTAAAAAGAAAAAATATTTTTGGTTTTTCACCTAAATCAGTTATAGCTTGCATGAACAAATAAAGTTTTTGCTATAAATCAACTTTATGTATACTTATAAATTATTCAATTTTATTTTTCTTTTCTACACATATTTTTTTCTATTATATAGATATTTTTTAATCAAGAAATGATTATAAAGAGATTTATATATTAGAATCAACAGTGATCTTACCGACTTTGGAGCAATCAAATCATTAGCACCGTAATATAAAGCCAAGGGAGCGGTAACTTTTTTAAGATCATACGTAATAGGGGTCATCTGTCCATAATGTTTGTAATTGCCCAAATGTCCATAGTCATACGCTTGAAATTTATCTATAACAAATATTAATTATCTACATAAATACAATAAAATTTAAATTATAAGATGTTTACAAAGATTAGCTTTTATTTAAATATCACATTATGAATGATATGATTAAAAGAATTACTAGAATTACTACTGGGACGGTTAACTTTTATTATTAATAGAGAGAATGAAAAAAGTAATAATAAAAACAAATAATATTATTAAACATTTAAATACGCTTTAAAGCACAGTTTTTATGATTAACAGTTTATATCGGAAAGGAATACTTTACCTGTCATCATATTTTGAAAATAATGAAATAATGTTTGCATGGATAATCCGTCCGGAAAATACGATACCATTTTTGGTAAAATTGTCTGAAATGAATAATTTTATTAAAAACAATTTTTTGATTTGCATATATTAAAATATAGAATATAAATTTACGAAATAAATACTATTTTTAGTCTTTAAAATATAAAAATAGTGGAAGTGTACAATTATGAAAATCATGCTATATTGGATATATATAATATACAGTATTAAGTTGTGCTGGATCGGAACCGCTCATTAGAAATATTATCGCAACACAGACGTTCTGAGTAATTGCCTCATCTGTACACAGTGTTCTTCTCATTGTAATGCTTTTTGATGATAAGGGGAACATATCATATATTGCATTAATATCAAAAAATTCCTGTTAAACAAATACAAACGGAAATATAAGGAATCTACACAAAAAATTGCAATAATATTTTATTACATTATATTACAAGATATAATATAATATAATAAAAAATATAACATAAAAGTAATTATGTATGTATATCAGTTCTCATAAACGTACAATCAATAATAAAATAATAACATAATAAAAGTTAATACGTAATTATTATATATAGTGTAAAATTTATAATAATTTATATTGATATACTACAAATAATACATTAATATGATCAATGTAATTAAACTTTTCAGTCTAAATTGAAAAACTTTTTAATAATAAATTATCATATATTAATATCTACAATAAAAATTTTTCTGAAATATATAATGTTATAAAAAATATTTTTTCTGTATCAATTATTTATTTAACAGTCTATACATAATTTCTATATTTATTATTATTATATTAATAACAAAGTAATGTTCATTGATAAAATTTATTCTTTTATAAAAATAATATTAAGATAGGACTTATATAAAATATATTTTTCTTTATTTCTTTTAAAATAAAATTTTGATATTTTCTTACCCTAACAATTTGTTTTTGACTTTGAAAGAATTGGTATGCAGGAGATATTTCTTTCCAAATAGCGATCGGACCAAGGCAGATTCCTAATTCTATTTTTGCATTGTATTCGGGCCTCATGGATAGTAAAACGAAGAACATAGTAGTTCCCATCGACAAACCGATGTAGTGTAGACTTTTCTGCTTTGTGTAATTAAGTACGTAATCGATCATAGCTGGTAGGTCTTTCGTTCCCATCTCATGATAGCTACACAATGTAAATATATTTTATTTTTCCTTTTATTAGCTTTTCAGTGCTGTACAAACACTGAATAATTGTTATAAATTTCTTAATTTAATTTTTTAATTCAATAACGGAAAGCCCTTTCAAACAAGCCCTCACTCGACTTCACATACTATTTAACATTTTCAACCTCCCCCTCGCCCTCCTTGGAAGGTTGAAGTGGGTGTTTTAAAGATAAAATGATAAATTATATTTTGCCATTGTAACCCTATAAATTTCAATCCAATATTTCGAACCGTTCAGAAATTATTTAGGTGTCCCGGTTTTTCCCCACCTTGTATATATATATATATATATATA